CCAAAGATTCTGATTCAGCTGATCTGCAGTGAGACTTGGGTAGTTTTCACTTGAGAGCTACAAATTGCTGTGGAAAGATAGGGAATACAATGAGCCCTTGATTTACGAACTCAGTTCATCCTCGAGGGCTAGTTGCAGCTCACGTTGATCAAGTGAAGGCTCGAGCTCCTCTACACAGCCCTCAGAGTCTCTCTCCTGTACACAGGCAGATCTCAGAGTCCATCGGGAGACACTGGCCCAGGATTTCTCAATGAACCCCAAACACAAGAGACGGTGCAGTTGTGCTCCTTCCAGAACTCTTTGAGTGTTAAATCCGTATCTGAGACCCTCTGGAAGCCCAAGCAACAAGCAATTCGGGTCGTAACTCAAGACTTTGGTCATAAGTTAAAACTAAAATCCCAGTCGTAATCCAGGTTGTTGTTCTGTGCCAGACCGGTCGTAACTCAAGGGTCCACTGTAAATCGATGGCCGTGATCAGTCCACTGCAGGGAGAACCAGAGGCAGACAGCCATTGTCTGGCAGGGAGGGAGGCTCCCCCCAGGAAGGGAGATTTCAGTTGAAATCTGGCGGAGGAGAGTGGTGGAGACGCCCCAGTGAAGGTGACCACCGCGGTGGGGAAAGAGGCGTCCAGGTAGTTCAGGGCGTCTGCCAACTTCACGCCTCCGAGCCTCAGTTTCTCTGTCTGTACAGTGGGAATGCTGTCAGTACGTGTCTTTAGGACTGGTCTTCAAGGGTAAAATGAGGAGCTTTTGGAGGGCCTTTCGTGGGACAGTGAAGTAATCCAGGGTATGTGGGGTAAGCAAGCCGTGGACGACACAAGGTCAAGTGTGAAAGCAGCAGAAAACCTTGCCCGTGGCCTCCGGTCTGTTGCCGTGTTGTGACTGCCTGATGCCTAGTGTGGTCTGTCGAGCACCTGCTGTGTGCCCTGGGTTGTGGGGTCCAGAGAGTGAATGAAACTCATCGCTTTCCTTCAGCAGTTCCCGACGTATCTGGAGCCCCTGTTTAGCTACTTCAAGGGAAAGAACTGGGGTGGGGGTGCCCCTTTGCCCTCCCCGCACTTCCCTGACGCATATGAGCAGTCCCACTCCACCTGGACCTGCAGTGTAGACTGAGTTTCTCCACGGTGAGGGCGTTAATGCAGAAGGCAGGCCCAGGAAGGGCAGGTGGCCTCTGAACCCTGGGCCTGTGTTGTCTGAGGAGAACACACCCAGTTCTGGGCTGTCAGTTTTCAGGGGTCACTCTCGGCTCTCTGTACCCCAGCAGTGACTCTGAAGTGGACACCAAATCCTTTGTCTGAATTAAACCCATGAGGCCAGTGCTTAGAAGTAGAATAAGCATCTGTCCCTGGAAATCTTCCAGAAGGCCCAGAAAGAATAGCTGTGGTGTCACTGGGTGCCTGTTACGTGCCAGGTACAGTGCAAAGGAAATTCTACACTTTACCTTCCCAGGAATTTTAGACACAAATGAGATCTATGCGTACTTTTCAGGTGAGAAAAGCGTGCAGAGAGGTAAACTCCTAGGAAAGTTAGAGTCAGGGTTCACATGTGGGTCTGTTTCTTAGGTCTCCTTCCCATTGGTCTCTACTTCTACCAAACCCAAGCTATGACCAAGGATGGCCTCTCTGAGGACCAGGGAGACACCAAACTTAGAAATTCCAGAGCCAGGGGTCCTGGGGTTCCTGGTTAATTCTAGAATCCTGGAATTTTGCGCTCACTTTTTAGTGAAGTAGAGTGGTTAACATAGTGGTCTCTAAGTTGAGTCTGGAGGTGCATACTTGTAATCTCAGCACCCTGGGAAGCTGAGGCACGAGGATCACAAGTTCGAGCCCAACCTGGGCAACTTAGCAAGTTAGCGAGACCCTGTCTCTAAATAAAAAGTTTTAAAAGTGGGATGGAGTTGGGGATATAGCTCAGTGCAAAGACCCTGGGTTCAATCCCCAATACCGAAAGAAAGTAGGCTGTCTTAGAGCTCGTCTACCTGGAGCAGAATTACCCTGCTCCTTCCCTATCCAGCCATGTGGCTGTACAGATAACTTTCTCCCTATGTGCTTCAGTTTTTCAATCTGTAAAATGGGGATATTATTAGTATTTATTTCTAAGAAGATGTAATGAGTTAATGTAATGCACTTAAAAAATTATGTGATGCAGCGAGTTTCAGTAAAAGATCTGGTGCTGTTCTTGTATTATTTATGACAGTCACCATCACACATTGCCAAGTTCCTGCCTCAGGCAGCCCAAGGGGGACGTCACCCAGAAAGCCAAAAATGGGGACTGGGGCCACGCAGTCTGGAGGGGAAAGGAGGCTAAAGGACGCTGTCCCCAAGGCTCCCGTGCCTCTTTCCTGAAGCCTGTGACTTGGGGCAGAGGGGAGGACAGCAGCTCCTGTTTGCAGGGCACTCACTTGCGGAGCAAGTTGAGTTCTGTGGGTATTGACCGTAGGCGCCGCCGTGGGAGGACTCGCACTGACCCTTCCTCCCCGTGGGCAGACCCCGCAGCCCAGCTCGCACATGCACCATGCACGCTTATCCACACCTCCCACCAGCATGCAGTGCGAGCACAGCCCATGCACAGATGTGTGCACAGACTCGGGCTGCTGCTCTTCCCCACACCTCCCTCGCCCTCACGTGCACCTTGTGGGTGACCCAGGTGACCTCCCGTGCAGGCGGGGATGAGGCCCTCAGCATCGCCCTGCAGGTGCGGGTCAGTGGGCCTTCAGAAGCATGGGTTTGGGAGTCCTGGTCCCAACCAATTCCTGTCCTGCTGCACAATCACTGTGGGTCCTGGACCAGCGCCCTAATCTTCCTGTGCTTCGGTTCCCTCATCTATAAAGTGGGGGTTATGACAGTGGCCACCTTGTGGGGCCTCTGTGAGGCTGAAACAGGACAGCACCTGGTGCTGATGATCTGATAGGGTCTGTGGGGCCACACACACCCATGGGGAGGGCCCCAGGGGACATGGGGTTTCCCTCTCCATCCGCTCAAAGCCTCTGGGCTGGCCTATCCGTGCCCTGGGCCATAGGAGCTGGTCATCTGGGGGTGAATGAGCTCCACAGATCCCTTAGGATCTCCCTGGAGTTGGGGGCACCCCACCCCAACACCTTCTTCCGGAACTCTGACCACTGCCAGAGGTCTGTGCTGGGGACCAGAGACACGAAGCTGAGTGGGACACGAGCCTGCTCCGGAGAGGCCCCCGATGTGAGGGGACCCACAGCCGGCGGGAGGGGGCAGGGACAGTCCCGCTGCAGGGCAGAGGCGGGTGAGGGCACAGGGCAGTGGGGATGGTGCTGCAGAGGACGGACCCGCTCCGGGGGTCCTGGAGGCCCTGTTCCTGGCTTCCCAGGCAGCTTGTCCCCTGTGCCTTGCTGCCAGCCGGTACGGCACCGCTGTTCTTTACTGAGGCTTGGCAGGGTGGTCTGCGTGCGGTGTAAACGCGGAGCAGGGGCTGTGTCCAGGGCTTCAGACTACACTCCGCGTGTCCCGTCTGCCATCCTGTGTTGACCACAGCGGCACTGACACCACAGCCCTCGGTACCACGGGGAAGCTGCGATGCCGGGAGACAGGGCTTTTACGGGAGAGGCAGGTTCGGATGTCACTCGAAGCCCTCCTCTAAGTGCCGCTGTTCAATTTGCCCCAGAGTCTACACTGCTTCCTCCTCCTCCTCCTCCTCCTCCTCGCTCCTTTGCCTTCTCCTACCTGCTTTTATCATTTGTATTCATTTGCTAGGACAGAAACGAGGAGCCACAGACCGAGTTCCACATAAGCATGTGAGGGGGGACAGAATTGGGTCCGTAATGTGTTGGTATTATTTGTCCCCCGTCCCCACTGGGGTGCCTTCTGTCTGTCTGACTTGCAATGGTGGGGATCTCTTTCCTTGTATATTTGTTTGTTTTCTGTTGCCAAGAGCACAACCCCAGAGGCAGAGTGAGTTATAAAGAACAGAGGTTTGTGCCAGGGATGTGGCTCAGTGGTACAGCACCTTCCTGACAAGCACGAGGTCCTGAGATTGATCCCCAATACCTGAAAAATAAAGATCGGAGGTTTACTTGGCTCAGACCTCTGGAGGCTCGAGAGTTGTGTCTGCTGGTGGCCTGCTGCCTTCCAGAGCCTTGACACAGAGTAGAGCGTCACGTGGCAGGACGTAGGAGGTGACCAGAATGTACAGCATGTGCTTCAATTTTAAAATTATAGTAAAAGACTCATTGCCGTTAATTGTCATCCACATAGGTCCCTTGACTTTGAGCACACGTACCCCATTGTTCTGGCTACTTTCTGCAGCAGCTCTGGAATCCTCTTTCGTGAGAGTCTTCAGTCGTGTTGTCTTGGCTGCCTCAGTGTCCCGAGTGAATCTGAAACACACACCTTTCACAGTCATTTTGACTTTCAGGATGAGCCAGAGGTCACACAGTGTCACATCTGTGGATAACGTGGACGCGGATGCACCATTGTGTTTTCACAAGCCTGCCTCTCCATGGGATGGCACTGTGCAGCAGCATTCACCCTCGTAAAGACACTCCTGAAAGGGGGAATTAATGGCAATGAACCTTTTATTATAGTAAAGCTTTTTTAAATGTAAACATTCACTGTGTTTTTTGACCGCCTCTTGAGTATGTGGCTCACGTGGTCTCTGTCCTTATAAAGCCACCAGGATTCAGTGATGGGGCTCCGTCCTAATGACTTGTCTAGTCCTAATCACCCCCCATGCTCCCTACACACATGCCCCAGAGTGAGATGAAGTTGACCCCTTCTTGGTGCTTCACCTCCAGCATGGGCCAGTGTGATGCCACAAATCTGTATCCCAGCACTCTGGGAGGCCGAGGCAAGAGGGTCTCAATTTCAAGCCCAGCCCAGGCAACTTCGTGACATCCTTTGTCAAAATTTTCAAAGGGTTGCTGAGGATATAGCTCAGTGCAAAGGCCCAGGGTTCCACCCCCAGTGCCTCCACAAATATATATATATATAGTTGGGGACAGATAGATTCAAACTGTCGTACCTTGTCACGCAGAAACCGCAGCCAGACGCTCAGCCCCGAAGCCAGCGTGGATGAAGGCGGCATGTTCGAGAGCCTGAAGGCCGAGCCGGCCTCCCCGCCTGCACTCTTCTCGGGCCTGGCCAGCAGCCTGCCCACCAGCCCCTTCCCAGCCAGCCTGGTTCTGGGGTCCTCGGCGGGTGGCGGGGATGTGTTCATCCAGATGCCGGCCTCCAGGGAGGAGGAAGGCGGACGCGCCAGCGAGGGCAGCAGCTTCTACCACCGCCCGCCCCACCACCACTCCCCGCCTGCCCTCTTCTCGGGCCTGGCCAGCAGCCTGCCCACCAGCCCCTTCCCAGCCAGCCTGGTTCTGGGGTCCTCGGCGGGTGGCGGGGATGTGTTCATCCAGATGCCGGCCTCCAGGGAGGAGGAAGGCGGACGCGCCAGCGAGGGCAGCAGCTTCTACCACCGCCCGCCCCACCACCACTTCCACCACGGCGGCCACCGCGGGGGCTCCCTGCTGCAGCACGTGGGTGGGGACCACCGCGGACACTCGGAAGAAGGGAGTGACGAGCAGCCAGGGACGCCCGCCCCTGCCCTGTCGGAGCTGAAGGCTGTCATGTGCTGGCTCCAGAAAGGGCTGCCCTTCCTTCTGATCCTGCTGGCCAAAGTGTGTTTCCAGCACAAGCTCGGTGAGTCCCTGGGGATGTGGGTGTCACTGCCTCGGGCTCCCCTCCTGGGTCCCCCAGAGCTCCTGGGGCAGGGGCTGTGCACCCAGAATTCCAGAAGAGGGAGGCAGAGGCGGGCATGGGGCAGAGCGCGTACAGGTGTGGGACTCTGGGTCAGACCTGGGTCAGATTGTGGCCCACTGTCTGTGTCACTTTGGGCGACTCAGCTGGCTTCTCTGGCCCTCCGTTTCCTCATCTGTCCAGTGGGGGTTGTGACTGAAGCATAATGAGCTACTTGGGTGGTAGGAAGGAGCAGAGCGTCATAACCAAGAGCTCAGGCTGCCAGGGTCTGCATCCCATTCCGCCCTTCCCTGGCTGTGTGATGTGGAAATATTGCTTAACCTCTCTGTGTCTCGTTCCCTCTTCTGTCAAGTGGAGACTAAGAGACAATGCACATGCACCTTCCGTATCTACAGTTCCCACACCCAGATATTCAAACAACCTCGGGTCAAAAATATTCAGGAAAAAACTGCATTTATACGAAACACATATGACTGTTTTTGGAGGGGCGTGGTCATTATTCCCTAACAAAGCATAGCACCTACTTACGTAGCAGTTACATTGTATTAAGTATCATTGGTCAGCTAGAGTTTTATTAAAGTACATGAGCTGATGTGCAAAAGTTCTGTGCAATTCACCATTTTGTATAAGGGACCCCTCAGGAGTCTCGGGAGCAGTGCCTTTCAGTGCCAAGGGCCAGGTGTCCTTCACGGGATGGCGGTGAGGTTAAAGTTGAGTTAATATGTGTAAAGTATTCAGAGAGCACCTGCCGCAGAGTATGCTTGTGCATGTGTAGACCGTTACCTGTGTTATAGTCATCATTAGCAGCCATTAAAGTGCATGGTACAGAGCCGGGCACACAGCAAGTGCTCAGTGAATACTGGCTACTGTGGTTATATTAGGGAGCAGGGTAGTACTTCAGAAGGTGCTTAACCTAGTACCCAACATGTACTCAACATTCAGTAAACAGTCCCTAGCATACTGCAGTTGTTACTGTGATCACTGTTACCAGATCATGATGCTGCTTTGCCCTGAGGTGTTTGTCAAGTATTATTTTAGTTCTACTATAGCAATGATGATTAGAATTATCTTGGGGAACTTAGGTTTTTGTTTTTTTGGTACTGAGAGTGGAACCCATGACCTTTGTACATCATTTTTATTTTGAGACAGGGTCTCACTAAGTCGCCACATTGCCCACAGTGGACTCGAACTTGTGATCCCCCTGCCTCAGCTTGTGTGCCACCAGCTTCCTTTTTTTTTTTTTTTTTTTTTTGGTACCAGGGATTGAACTTGGGTCCTTGCGCTTGCGAGGCAGGCCACTGAACCGCTGAGCTAAATCCCCGGCCCTTCCTTTTGTTCTTATCTTCCCCACTTTGGTGAAGTCCAGCCAACTTGGGGCACTCTGTCTTCCTCACTGAGGTATCAGCCCATCACCCCTTTCTGTCCCTAGAGGCAGAAGCAGAAGCTGGCTTGTCCCCTAATGCTACCTGAATTCTGGCAAATTCAAGGCTAAGACTTATTATTGAATACGGCCGTTGTCATTTTCAGTGATGGGGGTTGCATTTTTTTTTTTTCTTCAATCAAAGAAGAAAGTAGAACAAATGGATTGTGGTGTTGTTAGTTCTTATTTATGTTATCAGTGAAGGAACACACTTTTGCAAAGTAGATCTGGAATGCATATCCTATTACAGTAAGCAGGCAGGCTCCCAGTACATCCTGTGAAAGCTGAATTCAATCTGCAAGCCATAAAAGGTAGGATCTGGAAATCACTGTTCACGGAGAAGTCCAAGATTGTGGCTCAACGAACAGCGGCAATCAAGAGTTGTGGAATCAAATTCACTTGTGTTCTCCATCTGCCTGGGTCATGTCTGTCTTTAGCTAGGATTTTTCCCCCTTAGCATTAATCTTTAATTCCTTATGATGTCATGGTCTTTTTGTATGTATGCTTCCATTACAAGTAAGACACCTCAGCTTATTTTCAAAGGCGGAAAGACTGAGAGCGCCATTTATTAATTGCTAGCGGTTATGTTTCCTAAGGGTCATCCCTCCATGAAGTAGGAACCATTACTATTCTGTCCATTTTACAGAGGAGGGGACTGGGTCTCAGAGACAGGCAGTAACTTGCCCAGGCTCATGCTCCCGACCCAGTTCAGTGGTCTAAATCCTAACCCAGAGTCAGGTTGACTCCTAGTGATTTGCCCAGCAGCCTGGATCCCTTGAGAGTGAAATTCTGTTCCATTCTGTAGCCAGCCCACTGACTCCAAGGGGCCCTGGGACTCGGCCTTGCCGGCCAGGGGTCTGAGCATGTGGTGTGGCCCCTCCTCTGTCCCTCAGGCATCGCCGTGTGCATCGGGATGGCCAGCACCTTTGCCTATGCCAACTCCACACTCCGAGAGCAGGTGTCGCTGAAGGTGAGTCGCCCGGCCAGTCGCTCTCCCAGGGGCTGCCATCCCAGGTGACCACAATCCATCCGCGTGCTGTGACTCCAACAGCACCGATGTACTTGCAGATCATAAGGCTGCAGCAGTCTGTCCCGGCTGGGAGCCACACACCTCGGGGCTCTGTGAGGCAGAATCTTCTGCTCACTCTGCCTTAGGCCCTTTGCTCCCTGGGCCCCTCTCTTCTGCCTCCCACCACCACTTTGAAGGTCCTTCGTGACTATCATGGCCCACTGCAGTGTCGTCCTCTCAGCTTAGCTGGCTGGCAGCCTGCACCGAGTCCCCTCTGCCCCGTCACCCATCATAGGCACTGGCTCAGGGGCTGGAACGCAGGCCTTCTAGGGGGTTGATCTTCTGCCCAGCCCTGGGAAGGTCCCCAGAAGTGCCATCCTTCTCCCTTGTCCCCTCCCTTGCAATAGCAGCAGTGCCCCACTTGTCCTCCCAGCCAACCCCAGCTGCCTTCCCTCCTGCATTCAGTCTCTTAGTTCACTTCTAAGCCACATGCATGGCTAAGGCCACCAGGTGGACGTGGGGCTCCACCTCTGTCCTCCCAAATGCCCTCACATGTTAGCTGAGCACTGGTGCCCCTGCCCATCCCTTTCAGATTGTGCCAGCAGAGAGAAAAGCTGCCTCTGACATTTCCAAGGGGGAACCTGACTCAGAGACAGAGTTCCTTGCCTGAGGTCGCACAACCAGGGCAAATGAGCATCAGGATTTATACCCAGGCAGTTGAGCCCGAGTCCGTGCTCCTCCATCCACCTGCAGATCCTCAGACAGGCTATTCCAGCCTTGAGCTCCACCTGTAGGAAAGGGGTCAGACTGTCCCTGACATAATAGTTTGACTTCCGGTTTTTTGACTTTATGATCCCGAGAAACCAATGTACATTCTTGAGAAACCTACTTCACATGTTGAATTTTGGTTTTCTTCTGGGCTGATCCTCTTATGACAGTGAGCAGCGGCTGCCGGTCTCGGGGGTAAATACCTGAGGTTCTGTGTAACAGGGTCCATCTATTGGGAAGTTAGGTGTAGTAAACGCATTTTCAGCATTTCCAACTTGGTGGTATTTTTGACTTATGATGGGCTTAGGGGGCATACCCCATCCTAAGTCGGGGAGCAGCTACATTCGTACCCACCTGTAGGCTTTTGGTGAGGGTTGCCTGAGATACCAGGTAGAAGGTGTTTAGCACAGTGCCTGGCATATAGGGAACATTTAATTGAGCTTAATTGTAAAACCCATGCTTCCATCTGCACCCCATCTTTCCAGCCCCTTCTACAGCAGCATCTTTTTCCTAAGCATGGAGGGCAGCCCCGTCTGCACTTGCACACAGCCCGGCCCTCAGCAAGCTTGGGAGTCTCCACTTATCCACACTTTCCCCCGAGTTCTCCTTCTCAGGCCCTCGCTAATCCATCCTGTCTACTCCACCCGTTGTTTAGATTGACAGAGTTAAACTAGGATCTCTGATGTACTAAGAGAGAAAGGGCTGCCGAGTGGCTTAATCACACTGCTAAGAGCTGCTTGGCTGGAGGCAGTTTCTGCGGTCATTCACCTTGACCACCTGTGGGATAGAGTGGTTGGAGATGCACTTGTGTTGTCCACACCGTGGGAGCACACAGAGCAGCGGTGTGGGGCGTGGGCCGTGTCTACAGGCAGTGTTTGTGGAGCATTTACCGAAACCGCAGGGAAGGTTACACTGGGAAAGTTATGACCTCATCCTGTTCCAGCGAGGCAGCCTCCCCAGTCCAGGAAAACACAAGTTCTGAACAGCAGCAGCAGAAGGGCCTGCATGTGTCTCCCAGCATACAGGGCAGGAAGGTGTCCTTGTCTGCTCCTTCTCTGGACATTTCTTGGGATCGCTCTCAGGCCCAGAATCTTCTGGGAAGCAGCAGAGTGAGGCTTCCAGTTTTGCTTCATGAATCCCACAGATTCAGCAGGAACAAGGCTGGAGAAAGAGAAATGGGTGCACTGTGACAGGCTTGGATATGTGTACATGTTTGAATATAATCCAATGAGCGTGGCCGGACCTTGACCTTGAAGTCCAGGGCAATAGACCATAGGTCCATCGAGAACAAGTGAGAGCAGAAATTTCCAGCTCTGGATCTGAATCTGCTGCCTGCTTGTCACGTCTTCATAAGGGCTCTACCCATTAGAGCTAAAACATTGTCCAAGCGGCATGCAGCTTTACAGGTGTAAGTTTGGCTTAACCCTTAACAGCATCCCCATTTTAAGTGAGGGACCGAAGCTTAAAACCTGTGGCCTGGAGCAAACGTTACTGAGCCTCTCTGTGCCCAGTCCCCAACAGGAAATGCAAATTTAATACTTACTACGTCAGGTGCTGTACTAAGAGTGAAGCAAAGTGCGATCAAAGACTGCACTCACAGCACGGTGGCTGCCATGATGCCCAGAATTGATCCCAAACATTTACTTTTCGTGTCATTGGACGGCAGCAGAGCCAGAAGTTGCCCAGTTCTAAATCCAGTGAACAAATGGATGAGAACACACAGTAATGTTTTTATGAGCTTGCCTCTTCGTTGGATGGCACTGAGCAGCAGCATTCATCATATTTTTTTAATCACATCACATAAAGACACTCATGAAAGAAGACTTTCAGAATTGCTTCAGAAAGTAGTAAGAATGAAGGGGTGTGTGTTTGAAGCAAACGGGAGTGTTTAAAAGGAGACTAATGGCAACGTGTCTTTTATTACAATACACTTTTTAATTTAAACACTATATTTTTTGATCAGCCCATGCATATACATAGGTTGTACATGATTCTGTAACATAGGTACCAGTACAGACCCATTTTACAGCCAGGAAAGGAAATACAAAGAGTCCAAGTAGCTTTCTGGAAGTTGGACAGCTCCCAGGTAGCCAACTGAGGACTTGAACCCAGGCCATCTAGCTCCGGGGTCTGTGCCACGAACGATGTGCCCTCTATCCTTTTTGGATGGTTCTCCAAGAAGGTGTCTGTCATTCTGTCACCTTCTCTGTGACCACTCCTTGGGTTCCAGTGGGATGAAAACATACCAGTGCCCTTCCCTTCACAGTCAGCCCTTCTTCCTCCAGAACTTAGAAGCAGTGAAGTTTCCACTCACTAAGGAACATTCTGGAATGTTCCACCATTGCAGCATCCTCACAGGGCTCTTGCTTCATCTGCAGGAGAAGAGGTCGGTGCTGGTCATCTTGTGGATCTTGGCCTTTCTGGCAGGGAATACCCTGTACGTGCTATACACGTTCAGCTCCCAGCAGTTGTACAACAGGTGAGCAGGGGAGTCCGCCCCTTCCAGTGGAGAGGTGGGGGTTGGGGGTACACAGCCCTGCGCTGGGAGACAATACACCAAGTCTGTGTCATTTCTGAACTTTTAGATTCCACCCTGTTATTATACACTCATGCCTAGGACCGCGCTCTCTGGCAGAAATATAACGCAAGCCACATATGTAATTTTATATTTTCTAATGGCCACATTAAAAAAATAAAATGAAACAGGTGGAATTAATTCTAATAATAGATGTTATTTATCTCAGTATTGTCAGTCCTCTATATCTGTGGATTCGGTATCCATGGATTCCACCAACCTCAGGTAGAAAATATTCAGAAAAAAGAATAGCATCTGTACTGACATGTACAGATTTTTCGTCTGTCTTTATCCCCAAAACAATACAGTATAACAACTATTTACATAGTATTTGTATTGCATTATAGACATTAGCATTAGACAGTAGAGACAGCTTTAAGTACACAAGATGATGTACATAGATTATATGCAAATACTACATCATTTTATATGAGACTGGAGCGTCCTTGCATTTTGGTATCTATGGAAGATCCTGGAACCCATTTCACTAGGAAACAGAGGATGACCATGTACCTAAAATGTGCAACAGGGCGACAGAAGGAGAAGCAGAGCCAAAGAAACTAAATGGCTTACTTATCCCTGACTTATCATCCACTTCTTTAAAATATCCCCGTCACCTTGGTGGCCAATACCTGGATATTCTTTTGAAGCAATCGAGTCTTGTTCCTGGATCTGCCAGCATACCCAAAGTAGGTGCAACCTCACTCACAAATGGGAGCAGTAGTACATACCTATAATTCCAGCACACTGGGAAGCTGAGGCAGGAGGATCTCAAGTTCAAGTCCGGCCCAGGCAACTTAGCAACTTAGTGAGACCATGTCTCAAAATTTAAAATACAATAAAATAAAAATGAAAAGGGCCAGGGATGAGCTTCCTGTGAAGGGCCTGCATTCAATTCCCAGTGCTGGCAAAACAAAACAACGTCACCCCTAAGTTCTTTCCGAGCTGCTGCAGAGCCTCCTGTTTATCTCTTAGTGAGCTGGTTTCTCAGATGCCCAGTACAATGCTTTAGTCCTAGCTATTGTCCCATCGATATTTGTCAGACAGAAATTGCTCAGAATTCTTAAAAGTATCTTTCTGCGTTCAAAAGGAATTTATTTTTAGTGGTGAAAAGCTAGTAAACACACTTTTAAAGAAGAGCCACATCACCTCCAGTCCAGTCCCCGTGAGAGGCCACGCGGACATCCATCTCAGTCTGCATATGCCTGTGTATTTGTTAGGGACAGTACGGTGAAGCGCAGTGCAGGCTTCGTACCTCCTTCTCTTCATTTACCACCATATTACTTTAAATCAACAAGTGGCATTCACTCAGGCTTCCTGTGCCAGTGCCCAGGACTCTGCATATTGAGGATCCCTTAACCAAAAAGCTTGAGACCAGAAGTGTTTCCCATTTTGCAGTTTCAAATTTCAAAATATTCACCCACTTTCTCAGTTAAGTATCCCTAAATCTGAAAATCCAAAATATGAAATCCAAATTGCTCCAAAATCACATTGCTTCCAAAGTTTCAGATTTTGGAACATTTTGGATTTTGGATTTGAGGATGAGGGGTACTGAACCTGTACTAAGAAAAACGTATCAGCGTTAGTCCTTTGGGATGTTGATAACCAGGCGTTGCCCCTAGAAGGAAGTCCCTGAAGCCTGGGAAAAGCTGAACAGCTGGGTCTGAGACAGGGCAGGGACCAGGGACATCCTTAGGATTTTACAGAGCAGCAAAGTGCGGGGGACCCTCAAGTCACAACCAGCCTGACACGCAAAAAACTCGGGTTATAACCAGAATTTTAGTTTTACCTTGCAAACAAAGTCTTGAGTTATTACCCGAATGCTGGCCACTTTTGCTTCCAGGTGGTCTCAGATATAGATTTACCCCTTCAAGAGTTCTGGAAGGAACATTACAGCATCCTTTCCTGTGTGTGCAGTTCATTGAGAAATCCTGGGCCAATCCAGTGTCTTTCTAAGGACACTGAGATCTGCCTGTGTGCAGGAGAGAGACTTTGAAGGCTGCGTAGAGGAGCCTGAGCCTTCAGTTGACCAACTTGAGTTACAACCAGCCCTTGGGAATGGATTGAGTTTGTAAGTCAAGGATTCACTGTATTCCCAAAGCAAGATTCAGGAATCTACCATGTAGGCACCAGCTGGCTTTTTGCATTAAACATATTTTTAAATGATTGTCCCATGATAGCCAGGAGGCAGAAGCAGCCCAAGCATCCACTGACGGACAAATGAATCTGTGCTATGACCATACAATGGAATGTCCCTGAGGAGATTCAGACATAGGGTATGGCGTAGATGGGCACTGAGGACATTGTATGAACTGAAATAAGTGAGTCTCAAAAAAGACAGATATTCCCTGATTCTTCCTGTAAGAGGAACTCAAAACAGTTACGTTCCAAGAGACAGAGAGTAGAATGGTGGTCGCCAGGAACTAGGGGAGGGGGCTGAGGCACTACTGTTTAGCAGATGTGGAATTTGAGTTTTCCAAGATGATCCGAGTTCTGAAGTTTGACAGTGGTGGCAGTTGTCCAGCGGTGTTAATTACTTAATGCTACTGAACTGCACATACAAAAAATGGTTACAAGTGTACATAGAAAAATTTTATGTCTGTCTGTTGTACTACGATTAGAAAAAAATGATAAGCTTCATTTCATAAAAGAATGGGTATTGCACCACCAAAGAATTCAAGGATAAAAAATAATCCTATAAATGGAGTAAATTTTTTCTTCCTTTTAGAAAGAATGTCTTACATCTCTGAAAAGAGAATGTTACCAAACTGCAATTGCTGTATATAGAAACCATCAGGGCTAGAGCAAGGGGTTTAGCTCAGTGGTGCCGCCACCTGCCTCACAAGCTCAAGGACCTGAGTTTGATCCCTGGTCCTAAAAAAAAAAGAAGAAAGAAAGCTTCAGAGCTTTTGGAAGCTGAGAGATTTTCCCGTGGGTGCTGGAGGAGGTTTGGCTGGAAAGGGCTCTTGACAGAGTGGAAACTTGGGCTGTTTTGCAAAAAGACTCGAGGAGTCAGTAGTTTGGATACTTTATGAGGTCACCCCATAAAGCAGTCATAGGAGTTGGTTCCCAGGCATCAGCACACCCCTCCCACCCTGGATTAGCACTCAGTCCACAGGTCAGGGTCCCAGTGCAGGGGGAAGGTGATGGGGTTTCCCAGAAGCTTGGATGAATTTCCTGTCCATTCCATTTTCTGGGCATAATCATATTTCCAGGCTCAGACCTCTGTGCCCTCATTGAGCCAGAGCTGAATCAAACTGGCAGCACAGGAGAGAGAGAGAGAGAGAGAGAGAGAGAGAGAGAGAGAGAGAGAGAGAGAGAAAGAGAGAGAGAGAGAGAGAGAGGCTTAAGAGAAAAACAGCAGAGAGAGCTCAGTCTGTGTCTTTTTGATGCCACCAGCCTGCAGTGTGTTTGCAAGTGACACCAACAGCCAACGTCTTATTTTGCCCTCCCAGTGACCCCCAGGGTAGCACTATCCCCATGTCACAGATGAAGAAACAGACTTCGTGAAGCCCTTCTGGGTCAGTTGGTTTTCCTGTCACTATAACAAAATACCCACCGCTGAGTGGTTAATAAGGAAGTTTGTTTAGCCCACAAGTCTGGAGGTTCAAGGGCGTGTCACTGGCACTGGCTTGGCGCTGGTGAGGACTTTATGGAAGACTGCATGGTGATGGGCTGCACACATGCCGGAGGGAGGGGTTCGTATTCGAAGCATCTAGAAAGTATCCTCTCTGCCAGGTACACTGTTCTTGCTGTGGAGGCGACACCTGCACAGACTCCACCTGGCCTTTGCCCAGGGCCTCTGATTCAGTGGGAAGGAAGGAGAGAGACCAGTGCGGCCTGGGGCACTGGCTCCAATTCTAGCCCCAAATCCTAGCTGAGACATCACACGCAGGGGACTGACTCCCCGCTCTTAGCACCCCAGTCTTCGGCTCAGAAACAATTAATCCTGTACCCACTTCATAGAGTCCTTGGGAAGAGGAATGAGTTAAGACCCCCTGAATATATGCAGCCAGGACACCTAGGTCTGAGCCACTTCTGTTCCGTAATATCTGGAGGACCTGTGCATGGTGCTTTACCTTTCCATGCCTCAGTTTCCTCACCTGCAAAGTGGTTGTCTGCATCATAGAGTTGTTGTCATCATTGTCACCGCTGCATGGCAGGGTCCGTAGCACATCTAGGATCTCTCCCCAGTAATAACGCTGCAAGGGAGGGAATGAGTCCATTTGATTGAAGAGTATGCTGAGGCTTACAGATAAAACTTTATCTACCCAAGGTCCAACAAATAGAGAAGCCAGGATTCCAATTCAAGGCCATATAATATAAGTTAAGTCTGCTGATACTGAGGCCATTTGGAGGCCCTCGTTTACCAAGTGGAGACAAGCCACAGGGCCATACAAAATCCTAAAAGATCTGAGCTATCAGTTTCCCTCCCTCCTTTGTTGTGTTGGCTGCCTTCCCTCTGCCCTCCTTCCTTCCCCTCTGCTGTTTTTGTAAAGAGTGTTATGGACATGTAAGCTGGGGGTACCTTCATGATGCCCCAGGCCAGTCTCATCTTTGAACTCTGAAGGGAACTGAGGCTCAGAGAGGTTAAGAGACCTATACGAGGTTATGCAGCGGGTCCGTAGCAGATTCAGAAATAAGACATAGAGGTCTGACAGCAAGGCAGTGCTCTTCCGGGGCAATCTTTACAAGGCTCCCCTGTGAGTAGAAAGAGCACCTGAGGCCTGGCCTTTAGTGACGTCCAGGCTCTCTGAATACTTCCCTCAGCCTCATCTTCCTGAAGCCCAACCTGGAGACGCTGGACCTATTTGATCTGCTGTGGATTGTGGGCATCGCAGACTTTGTGCTGAAGTACATCACCATTGCCCTCAAGTGCTTCATTGTGGCCCTGCCCAAGATCATCCTGGCCGTGAAGTCCAAGGTAGGCTGCAGTCCCTGAGTACCTTAATAGGTTTTGACTCTCTCTCTGGCTTCCAGGAACTCATTTTGTAAAGTGGGCTGAGACTCAAGAGGAAAGTGCTCTGAGATTGATTGGTGATGTCTGCCAGGGACACGGAGTCGGGGGGAGTGTGGTGACAATGCTCTTCTTGTGCCCTGGGGAAGACCTGCAGGCAGGCATTAGGATGGAAAGGAACTCAGGACTAAGTGGACAGAAAATCCCAGACATAGGTTATAATGGTTGCCAGTGCCTCTGTAAGACAATGCAAAGGAAACCTGGCCTGTGGCGGATGGACCATTAGGTCTCTGAAGGCTCTTCCTTTCCATTTTGTAAAAACAGCTGTTCTCAGGGTTCAGAAAACTAAGAATGAAGCCCAGGCCTTGCCTGGCAGAGATCAGGTTAGAGATCCATGGGGCCGGGGATTTAGCTCAGTGGCATTGCCACATGCCTTGAAAACACAAGGTCCTGAGTTCAATCCCCGATACCACACACAAAAAAAGAATTAACCATCCATCTTGAGTTGCAGCTGACCCAGCCAAGTAGCCAGGGTAGTCTTTGAACTGGCTCTCCCTGACCCAGCGTGCACTGATCTGGCTGAGCCTAAATCCTAAGGTTTTCTTAGATGAAGCCACAGCTCTGGTGCCCAGCGGTGGTGTGAGGAAGTTTTAAAATGATTTAAAGACAGAAAAAGAGGGAGAGAGAGAGACACAGAGAAGAAAGTCAGGAGAGGGACCAAGAGGCCTAGAGAAGTGCTAAGGTACCTCTTATACCCTTTTAGGGTGTAGTAGCGTCACTTTCTGAGCTCAGGCCATTACCAGTGGGCACTGTATGCTTGGCCCCGAGAAGATGGCCTAGTAGTTGGGCATCACATACAGCGATGATCAGGACCCAGCCTCCTCAGCTCTAGCTGTAACTTTGGGCAGATGACAAGGCCTCTCTGAGCCCTCACTGACTCCTCTGTCAACTGATGATAGTAGTTGTGCCTTCCTCCAAAGCACTAACCTCATAAGAGTTGTTGCTTGTGGATAATGCAAAGTGCTTTCCCCAAGCCCAGTGCAAAGTATATTGTTCAGTGAATGATTGACAAGACACATTCTCCCTATCTGAAATGCGGTGCTTGGACAAGAAATTTTTCAGATTTTGAAATATTTGCCTCTAAAATGTTCTTAGTACACCTGTGTTTTGACTCTGTCACATGAGGTCGGGCACGGACCTCATCATGTTGGAGTTCACAAAATTTCTGATTTTGGGGGTATTTTTTTCTAATCAGGGATGCTTGGCCTATCCTTATGTTATTTAATCTTCATGACTTCTGGCTTTGTGCTGATTAGCTGTGCAAGTCTGTATGAGTTACCTTGTCTCTCTGTGGCTCAGCTGCCATGACTAAAATGGGAGTAGTAAGCTTACAACTGGATGTCTTCCATTGTTGGTCCAGATACCCCGAGCATCCTCATCCTGCCATCTGACCTGTGTGAATTTGGTCAATGGCCTTCCATGCCCAGTGGCTTCCAGTTGGATTCAGCCAATGGTGAGCCCAGGAAGAGAGAGAGGCAGAGGTATTGTTATTCCCCTGGCAAGTTTGTCTCCTTTGGCATGTGTGACAAATGCCACAGACTTAATGGTTCAAAGCAATGTGAGTTGATTTTCTTACAGTTCTGGTGGTCAGAAGTACAACACGCATCTCACTGGGCCATGGTCAAGACATGGGCGGGGCTGTGCGCCCTCCTGCTCCAGAGTCAGTGGCTCCTCACCCTCTGACCTCGCGTCCTCTGTCACACCTCCTTCTGGATTGGGACTGGGCTCCTGGTGGGATGGGGACTGTTCTGCCCATCACACCTGGCTTCTTCCTCCTGGCAACCACAGTGCCATTCTAAGTGTGATACACTCATTACCCCATCAAATCTGCACACCCTCCACATGAACTGGGCGCTCTTACTCCTACCACCCCTTCTCAGGTGTGAGGCACAGGGTTCCCGTCACAGGCAGCTTCTCTGCACAGCTTTCTGTCCAGGTGTGGTAGCCACACCTGACCCTCACCCCAGAGCACCCCTTGTTGGTTTCCCTAAACTCTACCCAAACGTCTGTGACTAGCACAGGTATTAAACTTCTCTCATGTACCCAGATTTTGTGGGCTGGGTACCTGTATACCCTGCCATGAGACTTCCCTGGTGAGACTGTTTTGAGAGTAAAGAATTTACAGATACCCAGAACTGGCTGTCCCAGACATGGGCTCAATATTGTGTGCTCCCATAGTGGCGAGTTTTAATCATCGCTACACCCATGATCCTCTTCTTCCTTCTACCACTACTCTGTTCATGAAGGATCCCTGGGCCTCGGCGTCTTCATCTGAGGCAGACAAGGTAGTGATACACAGTGGACTGATTTCCAAGAACAAATTTGGGACCCGCTCTTAAGTGGGGACCTCTTCCCCCTCCTCTCAGTCTCCGAGTATGGCCCTTCCGTAGACCCACTGCTGAGGTCAGCCATCCAGAAATGAATTTGGACCCTTCCGCTTCCTCTTCCTTCCTTGTGCCTTCTAGTCAGCAATCGAGTTCTGTTCACATCGCTTCCTAAATGACTTGGAGTCCAGCCTCCTGCCTTTCCACAGCCATCACTCTAGTCCTTGCCACCATAAGAACAAAGTAGATGTTTTTGTGTCTATCTGACTTTCTCCTCTTCCTCACTCTCTTGCTCTGCAGCCAGAGCGGCAGTCTTTTTAAAAGCAACTAATCTTAGCCAGGCGTGGTGGCACATGCCTGTAATCCCAGCACCTTGGAAGGCTGAGGCAGGAGGATTCAAGTTCAAGGCCAGTCTGGACAATTTAGCAACTTAGTGAGACTCTGTCTTAAATTTTTTTAAAATTTAAAGAGAAATCTGGGGATATAGCCTAGTGAAAAGGCCATTGGTTCAATCCCCAGTACCACAAATAATGATGATGATTATAATAAGTGACTGAATAAATATTTTTAAAATTAAAAATTAGTCTGACTGCCCTTTCTGCGGGTTCACTTCATTTCTTCCCAACTTAAACCATCCGTCCCTAGAAATGAGTGCATCTAGGTTGTATGTTGATGAATCGCCAGTAGTTGCTACGCATTTGGAGGTATTCAGTTGTGTGTGTGTGTGTGTGTGTGTGTGTGTGTGTGTGTGTGTAGTGGGTGGGTGGATGGATGAATGGATATATTCATCCCTAGATGGATAAATTAGATGGTTAGATGGGAAGATCGGTGGGTGAATGGATTGATGCCTAGGTGAGTGTATAGATGGCTGCCTAGGAGGAAGGAGGGAAGGATGCAGCGAGGGATGGGTGAGGGGTGGATGAGAGATAGAGGGCTGGCTGGCTGGATGGAGAATGGGCGGGGATGGATGGATGGGTGAATGGGACGAGTGGGTGGGTGGGTGGATGAGGACAGGTGGATGGTGAATGAGGGGTGAGTGGGTATACAGAGAGACAGAGGGAGGTAGGAGTGGCCGGATGGAACTCTCACCACCTCCTCTTCTAGCGGTGGTGAGAGTTTCCATTCCATTCTCAGCTCAGCTCCAACCTCTTGGACATAGTAGGTGTCCAAATAAGTTAGTCATAAAAACAAATCACTAGTAAAGTAATACTTCTCTGTGCAAGAGACGATCATTTAAGGACTCTCCAAGAACTGTAGTGGCCAAACTAGTAGTCATTAGCTCAGCTAAACATCACTAAGCAATCCCCAGGAGCCAGGCAGTGTTTAACAGTGTTGTTTATTCAGGAAATATTTGTAGAATGCCAGCTCTGGGCAGGCTGTGATGAAGGCATCGGGGATACATCTGTGAACAAAGTAGACAGAAATCCCTGTGCTCATGGCATCGATAGCGTACTAGGATGCTGTCATTTTAACCTTGAGTATAGGTGCCGCCATGTCTCTTCTCAGAGAGGACGCTGGCTGCGCTAACTTGGCTATGATTAGAAACCTCGTGGTGATAGTATGCTAGCACAGGAGCAGTGGTGGGGTCAGCCCTTCCTGTGAGCTGGACTCGTCCCCAGCTCACTTCCGTCTTGCATAAGACTTACAAGCCAAGGGCTGTTGTCTTGGGTTTTTTTTTTTTTTTTTTCTTAATTGAACTTAAATTCATGTGACATAAAATTAATCAAGTATACCATCCCAGGGCATTCAATACATTAACATGTTGTGCAGTCAACACCTCTGTCAAGTTCCGAGAACTTCTGCATCACCCGAAGGAACCCCGTGCTCACTTACCGTCCTGCCTCCCACATAGCCCCTGAGCCTCTGGTCTGCCTTCTGTCTGTTCTGGACTTTTTATGTACGTGGTGTTGTGTCACATGTGACCTTTTGAGTCTGGCTTGTTTCACTTAACATAAAGTCTTCAGGGATCATCTGCTTTGTAGCACAGATGGACACTTTATTCTTTTTTCTGGCTGAATCATATTCCGTTGTATGGCTGGGTCACCCAATGTTTGCTGGGCCATTTGTCCCATGAGACTTTTGGGCTGGTTCTTCTTTTTAGCTATTGTGAGTAGTGCTGCCATGACCATTTCATGTACAAATACCTATTCAAGTACAGTCTTTTCTGGGAAAATACCTGTGTGTGGAATTTCAGGGTCCTGTGGTAATTCTGCATTTAACTCTGAGGAACAAACAGACTCTCTTCCACCTGGGCCAAACCATTTCACTTTCTCAGCAGGACAAAGCCGAGTGGTGAGAGAGAGATTGAGGAAGTAGTGGCCCGCATGTAAGTGGCTGAGCTGAGATTCAAACTCGGGCAGTCCAGCTCTAGAACCTCTGCTGCATACTCAGGCGATACTCCTTCCCACGGACACGTTCTGCCTTTGTTTGGGAACTCCTCCCTGTCCTTCAGAGGCAAGCCCCCACTCACCGTCTTTGTACAACTCCCCCGAGTCCAGCCTGGACCTACCTCACTTCCTTCCCCTTCACACATTTCTTCCAGGAGCGAGAGGGCGGGGCTGAGCCCAGCACCCTATCCCTGCC